GTGTGTGTGTGTGTGTGTGTGTGTGTGTGTGTGTGTGTGTGTGTGTGTGTGTGTGTGTGTGTGTTGTTGTTGTTGTGTGTGTGTGTGTGTGTGTGTGTGTGTGTGTGTGTGTGTGTGTGTGTCCGTCCGTCTGTGTCTCTGTCTGCCTGTCTGTCTTCATTCTCTGTCTGCCTGGCTGTCTGCATTCTCTGTCTCTACACATGTGAGTGCCTGCCACGTCATCAATGCGTTCATTCATCCCATCACCTATCCACACGCGTGCGTGTGATCGTGTGTGCAGGCTGAGGGCGTGAATGCAGCGCGCGACGGCGCGCACGTGATGATCTCAACTGCCACGTCATCGGGCAAGAGCCTCGTGTATCACCTCCCGACCATGGAAGCCCTACTCTCAGACCCGCACAACACCGTCGCCCTGTACATCTTCCCAACAAAGGCGCTTGCACAGGATCAGCTGCGATCACTCCGCGAGTTTGTCGGTGCGGGGTGGCTCGGGGATGCTGTTCGCGCGGACTGCCTCGACGCTGACACACCAGCACGTGCACGAGAGGACGTCAAGAGTGCAGCCAACATCATCCTCACCAACCCTGACCTGTTACATGCCACGCTTCTCCCGCGCCACCGCGACTGGCACAGGTGATGATGATGATGATGATGATGATGATGATGATGATGATGATGATGATGAGGAGGAGGAGGAGGAGGAGGAGGAGGAGGAGGAGGAGGAGAGGTGATAATGAGCGACTGGACTCAATATGATGTTCCTGCATGTTGACATTGGTGGTTCTGTGGGGACCGCATGTGGTTACATGTGCAACTCACACCTGCTTGTGTGTGTGTGTGTGTGTGTGTGTGTGTGTGTGTGTGTGTATGTCTGCTTGTTTGACTGTCTCCTCATCCGTCCATCTGCTCTCTTCTCCTTGTTGGACACATGTCTGTAGGATCTTTCGGTCGCTGCGTTTTGTGGTGATTGACGAAGCGCACATGTACAGGGGCGCCTTTGGGTCCCACGTCTCTCTCGTCATCCGAAGGTGTGGATCATCTGTCCAACAACAACAACAACAACAACAACAACAACAACAACAACAACAACAACAACAACAACAACAACAACAACAACAACAACAACACCAACACACGCACACACACCATCACATTTTCAAAGCTCTTCTATCCACTCATCTCTCACATGCCACGTGCACTTGAGGTTGCTCCAGGCTGCTTCGCATTTGCCGTCACTACGGCAACACATCTGTGCAGTTCATCTGTTCAACAGCGACACTGGTACTGATCACACACACACACACACACACACACACACACACACACACACACACACACACACACACACACACACACACACACGCGCGCACATGAACACCCATGTTGCTTGGCGTTTCACACTGATGTCGCTTGAATTGCTTGAAAATGACTTGCCGTGGCGTGCCCTTCACCTAAGTACGCACACGCACACGCATGCACACGCACACACTTACGTACGCACATGCATGCACACGCGCACACACGCATACACACGCACGCACGCACGCACGCATTCCTACCACACATATTTGCCTGTGCCCCACATGCACAGGCAAACCCCCGCCAGCACTTTGGACAGCTCATTCCGCTGATTTATCCACACCGCTCGCGCGTGTGTGTCGTCGACAACGACGGCAGCCCGTCAGGCAGTCGCGTGTTTGTGCTCTGGAACCCGGTGCGTCGTGTGGTGCATGTGGCGCCGTGTTGGATGTCAATGTGGCGTGGTACCGTGTTGTGCGGCATCGTGTCGTGTGATGGTCGTGTTGTTGATGATGATGGACGTACAACAGCCGTACGCAGCTCCTGTTACCATGCACTCATGCACTCACGTAACATCACTCTGCATGCAGATTCAAGAGCAAGAAGACAAACCAAAGCGCAATCAGAAGGCAAAACAACAACAACAACAACAACAACAACAACAACAACAACAACAACAACAACAACAACAACAACAACAACAACAACAACTTAAACAACAACAGCGTTCTCATTCGGAACCCGCCGCCTCCTTCGCTGCGCATCGTCGCCCGTCCTCGAACGAATATCGCATTGGGCGACTAAGAAGCATTGGCGTGCACTCGACTGCAACGACACTGCACACAGGCAATGACAACAGCACCGTGGATGGGAGTGCTGATGTCTTTCATCCGCCAGAAATTGCAACAGCAGCTGCATCAGCAACAGCAGAAACAACAACTTCAACACACACGGCACATGGTGCTCACGCAGCAGTTCCATGTACTGATGTACAGCGCCCTGTACCACTGCACCCGCCCATTCTACCGTCACCACCACCTTCATCATCATCATCATCAACAACAGCATCATCATCATCATCATCAAAATCATCCTCATCATCAACGACAGCATCAAAACCACCATCGTCACTGTTTCGGGCTGGCCAGGCGCCGCCAAGTCCCAAACGCGCGCATGTGTCGACGCCTTCAACAAGAACACGAGCGGCACCAGCAACAGCGCAAAGCGATTCTGTTCCACCCCTGTCATCACCACCTGCATCATCATCGTCGGTGCTGTTACCACCACCGCACACCACCTCGCACGCACGCGTACCTAGTGGCTTGAGGTTCACGAGCAGCAAGCAGCATCAGGAGGAGAACACACACTCCGGCTTTGTTGCAGCAATCGGTACTGCGCAAACAGTTTCCTTTGCGCATTTGAGCATGTATGTGTGTGCGTGCATGTGTGTGTGCGGGCATGTGTGTGTGTGTGTGTGTATGATCGCCACTGTGCAGGATTATATTTGCTGTGTGCTTCCTGCGACGCGGCAAACATTGCAAGCTCACTGCCAGCCCCCCCCCCCCGTGTGTGTGTCTGTGTCTGTGTCTGTGTGTGTGTGCGTGTGTGTGTGCATGTTTCTGTTCCGCAGAACGGGCAGCCGCGCATTTGGATGGGATTGATCCCCCACTCGACCCGCTCACTGCCATCTCTTCCCAACAACAACAACAACAACAACAACAACAACAACAACAACAACAACAACAACAACAACAACAACAACAACAACAACAACAACAACGCCCGTCAACGGTGTCCACCACGTTTGGTCCGTTTACGGAACACATTGAGATTCCCACGGATGTTCACGTTCAAGCCGCCGGTGACAGCGAGCGACACATCAGCAGCGCCATTCTGCAGGCAGCGCTGATCCTCTCAGCTCTCGTCAAGCAACACGTGCGCACACTCGCCTTTGCAAAGGTTGGCACTCTTTTTGTTTTCGGCTGAATCAGTGCCGTTTCCCACACAACAACTGCATACTCTTGTGTGTGTGTGTGTGTGTGTGTGTGTGTGTGTGTGTGTGTGTGTGTGTGTGTGTGTGTGTGTTTATCTGCTTATCTGTGTGTGCATGCATGCAAGATTGTTGTTTTGTGCGCGCAACATTTCACGTGAAGCTTGCATTCGCACACATTGATGTTGTGACGATGACCCACGTGGCAGGTGCGAAAAGTAACTGAGCTTGTGCTCAAGTACACGCGTCACGACCTCAAACACACGGCACCACAACTCGTCGCCCGCGTGAAATCATACAGGGCCGGGTACACCAAGGTGCGAAGGCGTGCATTGTGATACGTGTGCATCTATGCCCCTGTGTGTGTGTGCGTGTGTGTGTGTGTGTGTGTGTGTGTGTGTGTGTGTGTGTGTGTGTGTGTGTGTGTGTGTCGGGGAAGGGCAAACACACGTGACACGAAAAATTACAGCATTCTCTGTGCACATGTACACCATCATGTCATCCATGACACCAAGCACAACCACCCACCTTAGAAACCGCACACACACACACACACACACTTATGCGCACGCACACTCATGCTCACCCGCGTACACGCATGCAGGAGGAACGCCGAGCGATTGAGCGGGCGCTGTTTGCTGGGAAGATCCTCGGCACAACAGCAACAAACGCGCTTGAACTTGGTGTTGACATCGGCAGCCTTGATGCAACCATTCTCCTCGGATTCCCAGGTGTGACATAGTATGCATGCGATGAGTGTGTGTTTTGGGGATTGTCTGGCCATCCCTCTGTCTGTGCCTCTACCTAGATCTCTTTGCTTTGTCTCTTTGGCTGTACGCGACCACGTCTTCTGCCAACACACACACACACGTACGCGCGCGCGCCAACGTCGCATTCTGTTGGTACAGCCTCTCACCGACATCATCACGGCCTCGTCAGGTTCGATTGCGTCAATGTGGCAGCAGGCCGGTCGGTCTGGTCGCGGGACACACGATGCGCTGACCATCCTCATCCTCTTCAACTCCCCGCTCGATCAGTACTACCACCGACACCCGACACAGCTCTTCGCTCGCAAGTAGGCGTGCTGCGTTGCAGTTTTGCGTGATGTGATGTGCTGCGTTGGCTGCAGAGCGCAATTGCAATGTCTTGGCAACGCCACTGCTGCTGTTTTCGTTCGACAACTGCGCACTCGTTTACACGCACATACAATATCTCACACATTCACTCGCAAATGCACACTCACACGCACACACAATATCTCACACATTCACTCGCAAATGCACACTCACACGCACACACAATATCTCGCACATTCACTCACAAATGCAAACTCACACGCATGCACAAACTCACACATTCCCCCCTCTCACACACATTCACTCACTTCCTCCCCTCACAATCCCATCCCACCCCCACCCTCCTCCAGGTACGAGGCTGCGGTGTGCGATCCGCGAAATCCGTATGTGTTGCGCGAACACCTGGTCTGTGCAGCAGCAGAGCTGCCACTGGCACTGCTGCCAACACACATTGACACAACCACGCGTCTACTGGGCGCCGATGTTGTCGGCGAGGAGGCGTGGATGGGACCCGCACAACACCTGGAGTGAGTCGCGAGCGAGCACGGCAACGGCAGCTTTGCATAATGTCCTCTGTCAGTGCCACTGGTCTCAAACGCGCTGCTGTATGGTGTGAATAGGTGCCCGAGACCTCGGCTGTGTCAAGCCACTCTTTCCCATTATACCCTTCCCCTTACCACTCACTCCCTCTTCACACTCTGTGGCACACCCACCGTTGCCCATGTCTTTCATCAGCAATTTCATGGATCGATGCACACTCGATGAATACACACGCGCTTTCCCCGCAATGGAGGACCTGCTGCTGTTTGGCGGCACGGCACCAGCCCTCGTCCACACACTCGAGGTGGGCCGACTCGTGTGTGTGTGTGTGTGGGGGGGGGGGGGGCGGGGGTGTTTGTTATGTGTGTGAAGGATGAAGGTGTGCGAGAATGCATTGGCGACCCTCCCTTTCCTTTCCTTCCCTTCCTATTCATCATGCCTCCCCTCCCAAACACACACACAAACACACTTGCACCCGTTTCACACGGCGCAGGACAGCGACATTGTGCTGCAGACGCGCGAAGGATTCACCATTCGCGCAATGGACGCCCGCCCGTCCCTCACCGTTAGCTTGCGCTCTGTCGATCAGGTACTGTGTGTGCGAATGTGTGTGTGCGCGCGAATGTATGTGTATCTATCTACCTGAGTCTGTGTGCGTGTAAACAGGCAACACGCTGATGTACCTGCACAACCACATACGCGTTGCCACAAGCGCAAGCTCTCTGTGTTCCGCTCACGCCGCTGTTCTCTTTCTTCTCCTCAACCATCCATTCACGCAGGAGGCGTTTGCTGTGTATGAGATTCCAGGCATGAAGAAGGTACACCTGCCTTCATTTTCATGGCAGTTTACTTCACCCTTCTCCATCACCGCTTGTCTGTCTGCTGTCACGCACTTACACACGCACACACACACTCTCTCTCTCTCTCTCACACGCACTCTCACACACACTCACACACACACTCACTCACTCACTCACTCACTCACTCACTCACTCACTCACTCACTCACTCACTCACTCACTCACTCACTCACTCACTCACTCACTCACTCACTCACTCACTCACTCACTCACTCACTCACTCACTCACTCACTCACTCACTCACACTCACACTCACTCGCTCACGCACTCACGCACACTCACTCACTCACTCACTCACTCACTCACTCACTCACTCACTCACTCACTCACTCATTCACTCACTCACTCACTCCCACACACACACTCCATGTGCTCATGTGCATCAGATTGATGAGGTTGGCCCGCGTCACGCCATCTTTGAGCTGTATGAAGGCGCCATATTCTTGCATCAGGTGTGTGACATGGCCTCTTCAGCTGCGTTGTGACCGATGCAATTGTCACGCTGATTGCGTCTCTGTTGTTATTAAGTCTGTGTCAATGCACTGCATGGGTCCTGACTGTGCTTGCTCATTTGAGCGCGCCACCAATCGCCCTCTCACAACTCACGTTCTTCCCGCCCTCCTCCTTCACATGCGTCACAAAGGGTCACACATTCCTCATCACGCACTACGACCGTGACGAGCTTGTTGCCCATGCAAAACCTGTCAAGGTCGACTACTTCACGCGCCAGCGCGACTTTTCAAACATTGACGTCATCAACGTGCTCAAACGCGATCCAGAGCGAAACGCATTCTGGGGCTCCGTCCAGGTGCTCTATTGTGTCTGTGTCTGTCTGTGTCTGTCTGTGTCTGTCTGTCTGTCTGTCTGTGTCTGTCTGTCTGCTCTATTGTGTGTGTGTGTGTGTGTCTGTGTCTGTCTGTGTCTGTCTGTGTGTGTGTGTGTGACCGTGTACCTGGGGCCGCTTACTTGATCAGCAGCAACGCGTGTGTGCGCGCTGACTGGACATCGCGCGATTGCTCTTTCGCCCATGACAGGTGTCGGTGTCGGTGTACGGCTACCACAAGATTCGGGAGCGCACGCTTGAGTTCTTTGAAACCGTGCCGCTAGTGCTGGACCCGTGGGAGTACAAGTCGCGTGGCTGCTGGATTGACATTCATCCCAGCGTCAAGGTGTGGCATTCTGTGTACGCGGGGAGGGGTGCGTCTGTCTGTCCATTTCTGTGTTTGTGCTTGTGTGTGTTTGTGTGTGTGTTGGGTGAGTTGCATATCTTTCTGCAAGTGCGAACTCATTCACGCATGCTTGCACGTCGATCGCAACATCTGGACAGTATCGCCTGCTGGCTGAGGGCCTTGATGTGACAGCGAGCATTCACGCCGCAAACCACGTCATCAAGAACAGGTGTCTATGGCTGTGTGTTTGTGTCTACGTATCCGTGTGTTTTGCTTGCGAGGTGTTGTCCTTCACGCAAACGGCATCATGTCATCATCACCCTTCCATATCGATTGTGTTGAGGCCTCCTGAACTTCCTGTCACTTACGCACCTCTTCCCTCCCCCTCCTCCAATATGACAGCGTGCCCGTGTATGTCCTGTGTGATCTTGGTGACATCGACTGCGAGCACTCCAGTCCACTCCAAGTGAGCATAAGTTGCTTGAGAATGCCAGAGAGCGATGGTCTCTGTGTGTGTGTGTGTGTGTCTATGCTTGTCTTCCAACGTGTCTGATGTAACTCCTTCTACCACCACCATATCCACCACCACACTCACCCATAACACGCCTATCATCAGCTGCGGGCGCGACCACTGCGCCTGGTGCTGTACGACACGAAACCGGGCGGGATTGGCGTCTGCTTTGCAGCTTACGAGATGGTGCACCAGGTAACGAGCACAAAGTTGTGTGTGTGTGTGTGTGTGTGTGTGTGTGTGTGTGTGTAGGTGTGTGTGTGTGTAGGTGTGTGTGTGTGTGTGTGTGTGCCATTGTGTATGTGTACGTTCAAGTTACGCGATGTGCTGTGGATTGGGGATGTTCTCACAAACACTAGCGGACATGAATGGAACACACCAACACCAACATCACACACATGCACACGCACACATGCACCCATCTCACGCTGCCAGTTGTTGCGTGTTACAGATTGCGCAAACCGCGCTTGAATTGGTGCGAGACTGTCCATGTTCATCCGGCTGCCCAGGCTGCATCCACGACTTTGCCTGCTCAGAGTACAACCAGTGTACGAGCAAGGCTGGCGCACATATTGTCCTGGAGGTGCGTGTGTGTGTGTGTGTGTGTGTGTGTGTGTGTGTGTGTGTGTGTGTGTGTGTGTGTGTGTGTGTGTGTGTGTGTGTGTGTGTCCCTGCCCCCTCTCCCTCCCTGCCAGTCTGTCTGCATCTGTGACCCGCTGTTCACCTGCCAGTCTGTCCGTCTGACACGAACTTTCTTTACGCCCGGGTGTCATTTACAGGATATTTGCCTTCAAATGGCAAAACAAAAGTGTCAACAACAACAACAACAACAACAGCCAGCAAGCAGCGCAGGCAAAGAGGATCGAGGAGGCACGACGATGCAAAGAGGAAGCGCACACGATTAACCACAACAAACATGCACGTGAACACAACAATCACCAACACACATACACACAACACACAACTCTGTTGTTGAATCTCACCATAATGGAACAGAATGGACGTGAAATGTCAAGAGGAAGTGACACAGTAAACGATTACAACTCCCAAACTCACAGAGACGTACCCACACATGCACACTCGCACACACACACACACATACACACTCTCATGCACAAAAACGCTCACAAACACGCGCGCAGAGCAGTGGCAGCTCAAGGGTGGTACGGTTGTCCCAGCGGCATCTGAATCTGGTCGGCGTTCTGTTGGAGATGAGCGACGATGGTGGCCATGGAGTTGTGCGGTGCAGTGCCGCGTTGCCCGTTGATCAGGAAGCCGTCAGCAAGAATGTCGACTGTTGTTGTTTGGACCCCGGGGGGCACGGACGGTGGAATATGGGATAATTTGGGGGTGAGAAGTTGGGAAAGTGTAGGCTCATCGTGAAGAGGACTCAGGATGAAAACTCAGCACATTAAGTGCACACATGCACACATGCACACATGCACACACAAGCAAACATGCATCGAAGCAACACGCGGGCAAAACCCACAGCAAACTGCACGGAGCGACGCACCTTTGTGATGTACGAAGCGATGATCCACCTTCATGGTGATGATGAACTGTGCCGGCTCGTTAGGCTTCGTTCTGACAAGGAACGTTCCTGAAACACAAAACCAACACACAAACACAGAACGTTGGTGCGCTAATGAGTGCCTGCAAGCAAGAACAACGATAAAGCAATCACACGCAATAAAAGCAGAACGTACATACGCATGCACACGCGAACTTACGCTCACACTTACACTTAAGATCACAATCACAATCACAATCACAATCACAATCACAATCACATAAACACACGCACGCACGCACGCACACCCGACACTAACCGTGAGGATGAGAAGCCAGCATAGACTCGGCCTTGTCGCGATCAATGGCACCGACGTTGTACGTGTCCGATGGGGGCTGCTGTGGTGGCGGGGCGAGCTGGTGGTGCCACGTGCCAAGAGGAACCAGATGGAAGTGGAGAGGAGAAGGTGGTGTCAGAGACGTGGACGTACGGAGCGAGAGAGCGAGCGAGAGAGACCGACCGACAGACAGACAGACAGACAGACAGACAGACAGACAGACAGACAGACAGACAGACAGACAGACAGACAGACAGACAGACAGACAGACAGACAGACAGACAGAGATGAAGAAAATGAGTGTCACACATCACGTGTGTCACGTCACGGCATATCAAAGAAGGCAACAGATGAACAGAACGATTCAACAAACAAGAATTCAATCAGCTCAAGCGCAACATTCACACGCACAACATGGCAAACGCCAGCGAGCAACTCACGTTGGTGTACATGGACGCAGGCTGCAACGTCTGTGGATTTGCTGTTGGTTGATCTTCAACCTGTGCGTAGATTGAGGCGCCGTTGTTCGGGCGCGCGTCGGGGATGGTGTCATATGGCTGCATGCCATTGTTGTTGTGGGACTGAACGCCACTGTTGGCATATGGCTGGATGCCGCTGTTGTCGTAGCGGGGCGCAATCGGGTTGTCGATGTGCTGCCCAATGTGCACGGACGAGCGTTTGCGCTGCACTTCATCCAGGTGTGACATGATGGCCGCGGGGTCGTTCGGGCGGCGCCCGCAGCGAACGGCGATAATAAAGCCAAGGATGATGCCAAGAATCAGTCCAACCACGATCAAGACAATGGCCGCAATCAGGTTCTTGTCCTCAGATGAGGACGCGCCACTTGGGTTCACCACGGTGAAGCTGTTGGTCTGCCCTGCGGGGACGTCGTCCTTGCTGAGGCGCACAAGGGCCCCGCTCCCGTCAACGCACACCAGCTCAACCACATTGCCAACAAAGTCAATGTCAAGCACATACACCCGCCCGCACGGCCGCGCAACATCGTCAAACGCAGCCCGGATCAGCGTCTCCGTCTCCTCCCGCGTCCCGCCAATCCCATCATCGTACAAGATCATCGTCACCTCAGCGCTGCTCGGATACACCACGCGCCGCACATGCTGCACCACGCTCTCTCCAGCACCCCGCCCAACCCCAACCTCCACCTCAACATGCGTCCCAGGCACAAACGACGCTCGCCCCTCATCAACAACCCACGCATCTCCCTCAGCCCGGCGTCCAGCATTGCTGCCGCTGTTGCTGTTGCTGTTACTGAGGCTTGCTGTGAACGTCTCCTCCACACTCACGCTGTCCCCGTTGCCGTCATCATCCCCAACAACAACATCAGGCTCGCGTCGACCCGCCACCTTGCTCTCCGGCTCACGCACAACCACCCGCACAGCATGCGCCTCCCCGCCGCCAACCCCATTCCCGCTGTCGTCCGTCGCCTCATACCGCACCACGTGCGTGCCCACCGCGCCCAGCGACACGCTGCTCGGCGTTGCTCCAACCACCCGCGTGCCATCGTGCGCATCCTCAACCTCCGCATCCGCAAACGCAAGCGTCGTCGCTGACTGCTCAACAACCAACACCCGCTCCCCGCCAGCCGTGATGTTCGGCACACGCAGCACAGGCGCCATCGTGTCCAGCACACGCACGCGGCATGACACGTTGCGCGACACAAGGCCCTCGTCGTCCCGTGCCCACGACCATCGCTGGTGCTCCCCAATCACGCTCAGGTCCACTGCTCCGCTCGCTCCCCACGTGCTCTCAACCTGCACACCCATGCGTGCATGCATGCACAGAGCATACGTGCGTGGGTGCAAGCATGCAGTGATGGCAACAGAGTAACCACATCAGGTGTGAGCACAACCGACAAGTACAACCACAAGTATGCAAATTCATCGTGGCAACCAGATTCACACCAAAGTCATCAGATCGCAGCACGCAACACATACACACATACACACAAACACACACGCACATCGAGCCACGCACACGCACACGTGCACACACACACGTGCACACACACACACATACACACACACACAAACACACACAAGCATCCACAAACACGCAAGACGAACCGTGACGTTGGGAGTGCCAAAGTCATGCGCGCTCGCAGAGCACAGCGCCCCAGCGCCAGAAAACGTCCCAGCAGGACTCGCCTCAACAACTACCTCGCTCGGCCCTGCCCCAACCCACACCTTCGGCGCCCACGTGTCAAACCACGCAAACTCAAGCCCAACCTTGCCATTCACGCCACACGCCCTCCCCACATAGTCAACACGCTGCCGGAACGACGTGGTGAAGCTGAGCGAGTCGCACAGGAACGGCTGCGGCTGCGCCGTAAACGACGTCGTCACACTCACCTCATCCCCAAACGCATCAACAACACGCACGCGCGACGGGTCTGTCGCTTCGTAGCACTCGCTTGTCGCGCCCTGCACCAGCTGCAGCGCCGTCACACGCTCCCCGCGCACAAGCGACACAGTAGGCGCCTCATACACAACACCCACGCTGCGCGTCTTCCGCGTGTCCTCCCCGTCCCGCACAAAGTACTCCAGCACAGGAGACCCAGTCACACACATCCCCTGCCCCAGCGCTTCCCTCAGCGCACCCCACCCAGACACATAGTACGGCACAGGCACATTGCTGTCGTTCACAGCCGCGCCCGCATCAACATACACCACCCCATCCTCAAACACAATGCTGCTGCTCGCCGCACCCAGCAGCTGCACAGACGGCGGCTCGTCGTCGCACGTCTCAACACCGTCCCCAACAAACCCGGGCTTGCACTCGCACGTGTAGCTGCCAATGGTGTCGATGCAGGTTGCGTTGGGGTGGCACACAAATGTCCCGCGCTCACACTCGTTGATGTTCACGCACACCGTGCCGTTGCCCTCAAACCCTTCGTTGCAAGTGCACTCGAAGGAGCCCACGGTGTTGTTGCAGGTGGCGTTGATGTCGCAGTTGTCGGTGCCCCGCGCACACTCGTCGATGTCCTTGCACTCGGTGTCGCGAGTCACTTCGCACGCGTTGTCCACCTCAAACCCAAGGTCGCACGTGGAGCACGGCTCGCACGCGGTCTGCCCAGGCTCATCCTGGAACGTCGTGCCGGGAACACATGGCGTCCGCTCGCCGTTCTGGCACACAATGCCAGCCGGGCACTCCTGCTCCTTTAGGTACAGGTCGATGGTCGAGAACGCGGTTGTGCCTGCGTACGGCGTCGGCGTGGCGCTCGCGTTGTACACATCAATCTGCACAAACTCGGATGAGCTGGTGCTGAAGTAGCCTGGCTGCGTGGTGTTGCACTCGCTCTGGCCCTCCCGCGCACCAAAGTACTGCGGTCCCTCGCACACAAACGCAAAGGCTGGGCCAGGGTCGTCGCCGCTGCCGGGGCAGTAGAACCCAGTAGGACATGCGTCGCACTCGCGGTCGTTGGTCGCGTCTCCAAGGTCCGTCGCAAACTCTCCTGCAGGACAGCTCTTCTTCGCCACACACGTGCCCATGTCGAGATACAGGTTCTCCTTGCATTTGCATGCACTGCCAATGCACTCTGTGTCAGGATCAGCACAGTAATCACCACCCAGCGAGCAATGATGTACACATCCGACACCGCTTTCGTATATCAGCCTTGGGTTCACGGTAGTGTTGCATTTGCATGCGGGGTCACCGATGACGGACTGGCTTGGGTCGCAGTATGCGTTCTCGCCCACGCACGCGCCCTCAGGGCACAGCGGCTGGCAGTCAAACATGTGGCCTGCGGGCGATGCAGCGCCCTCGTCGCACACGCACTGGCCCGATGTCGTGTTGCAGGTGGCGTAGTCACCGCAGCTAGTGGTGGCGTCGCAGGTGTAGGTGTAGGTGTAGGTGAAGACGGCCGGGAACTGTGCGTCGGTTGGTTCGTTGGGCTTGCCTTGTGCGGTGCAGCTGAAGGTGGTGTTGGCCTGGTTGAAGGTGCAGTTGAGTGGGGAGAACGTGTTCTCGACGTAAGGGATGAGGGAACTCGCACTTGAGGGGAACCGCCACGTGCCAAACTGGATGGTGACCTCTTGATCGGCGTCGAGTGTTACGACTGGGTCGCCTCCTCCATATCCCCATGCGAGCGGCCAGTGAATGGGGTTTATCCAGGGCTCTTCGACCTGCCATGGGGAAAGTTCGTCGACGCTTGGGTTGAGTCTGTGGCGGTCACCGGACTGTTCGCCGACGAGCAGTGCGACTGTCGGGTTCATGCGCTTATCGTCGGTTGCCTTGAAGTCCGAGGGGTAGGTGGCGGTGTCATCGAACGTGGCGTGGAATCGCACCAGCGTCAGGACACCCGTCACTGTGGTCTCTGCAGTCACCCTGTGAACTTGTGGAGTGCCAAGGGCGACAATCAATACGCACACGGCAATCTGAAATGCCTGCAGGCACGCCATGGTCCTATTGTCCTTGTCGACGATGCCTTTGCAGCGGCGTGCGAAAGCGAAAACCTCGCGACAACAAAGATCGCAACTCCGGAACAAGCAACTGGCGTTGTTTTCTTTTCCTCGCTTGCTTCCAGTCTGCTTGCTGTTACACTGTGCCTGGTCAGCTCGCCCTAATGCGATGTGGTTGTGTGTCTGTGCGTGTGGGTGGGCGTGGGCAGACAGCACGGCTTGTTGGGTGATGAGTGAGGCAGCGACACAAACAACAACTTGGCTTCTTTCCTCTTGTGCTTGTGCTTGTGGCCTGTGCGGGCTTTTGTGCGGGCTTGTTGTGTTGCTGAAAATAATTGAAAGATGAGCGATAACACTCGTTGTATTATTAGCGCATGGAATCACAAACACATAACCAAACGTTGACCTCGCTTCTCCCACATCCTGTTGGTACAGGCCACAGCTCAATGGCTTCGTGACACTGCAATACAAATATGTAAGTGACGCTTCCCGCTCCTCCTCCTTCCAACGCAACATTTGACACCTGACACTGCACTCGTTCACGGCCCTCACCCATCATCCCACCACACCACAATATCGTCAGAAGCACCACAACGCATGGCAACAAATCGTGAAAGAAAAGAAGAGAAGAAGCGAGGACACAGAACTCGAGAATTCAATCCAGCAGGCCAGTGTCAATTGCTCAACTGAAGCGCCATTATGGCATCCTTCTTGCAACTGCCAACGAGCAGGGCGATCATGTCGTGTATGCTTTGCCGAGCCGCACTTGAATGTTGTCCGCGGTTGACTCGAGATGCCTGAGGATGGAGTACATGGAGTTGTGGTTGCCCTGTCCGCGCTTGCCGTTGATCATGAAGCCATCACTCAACGTCTCCACTGTGACACAAAAAACAATCACACGTGCATGGCCATGAGGTGGCGGGTTGTGGTCGTTGTGAGTGAGGTGCCATTGTCGACATGCGACCGTGCTCGGAAGCTGATTGTTGATGCGACACTGCACACGAACGCCCAGTCTGCAGCCCAAACCTTTGTGATGGACGAATCGCTGGCCCACTTTCATGGAGATGACAAAGTGATTGGGAGGGTCATTGGCCTTGGTCCTGACCAAGTACGTCCCTGGAAGGGAAGAAGAGGCGCAAGCGCAATGAAATGACAGTCACGCATACATGCTATGAATGAATCACGTGATTCGTGTCACAGAACGCTGGAAGAACGTGGCAAAGACATCAACCGATCTTGTGCATGTACCATGGGGTGATTCAGTGCTTCAACTGATGTGCACAGGTGAGAGCGGAAGCGGGTTCGCTCACCGTCACCTCACCATCAGGTTGGGAATTCAGGATCGTCTCTGCTTGGGCGCGTTCCATCACACCCACGTTGCACCGCAGGCCAGACGGATCCTGTAGGCATTCAACCGCAGACGCAAAAGCATGTGTTCAAGCGGGGCGTGTGTTATTGTGTGAGTGAGTGCAGCTCAAACTTACATGCAATCTTCAATTGGTGCGACAGAATGGTGTGTGCTTGCACTCACAGCGACAGTGCAGCTTGCGTCGCACGGGCCAAACACAAATCATGATCCAATCACCGCGTACCTGAATTGTGGGACGTCGAACATTCTTGTTATCATCTCCGCTGACACTCGCGTACATGGGCGAGCCTGGTTGCTGCGCATTCACGGGGACGTACTGGGGCGCGTGCGTCGTGCTGCGTGAATCGTCGTGAAGCGCAGCCGCGCTCACGTTCTGGTACACGAAACCAGGATTCTGCACAGGGGACTGTGGCTGTTGTTGCTGCTGTGGACCCTCATCGACATGTGCATACGTCGAGAAATTGCCCACGGTTGTTGTTGGTGACACCGGCGTGTAGGGAGATGGCGGTACGGGGCACGTGGGGTTGTCGTACATGGGCGCTGCTTGCTGAGGGGCAATCGGGTTGGGGATGGTGTATCCAACTTGGATGCTCGAAGTCTTGCGTTGCATATTGTCGATGCGAGTCATGACCCGATCACGGTGCTTTTCGTCCATCGCTGCTTTGCCATACGTACGGACGATCGCTACGGCAACGAGGATGCCAATGATGAGCCCCCCGATGATCATGCCAATGGCGATGGGGAGGTTGGACGCAGCCTGCTTCGAGGTCGAGGATTGCACGGTGAAGAGCTTCGTTTGCCCCGCGGGGACATCGTCCTTGCTGAGGCGCACAAGGGCCCCGCTCCCGTCAACGCACACCAGCTCAACCACATTGCCAACAAAGTCAATGTCAAGCACATACACCCGCCCGCACGGCCGCGCAACATCGTCAAACGCAGCCCGGATCAGCGTCTCCGTCTCCTCCCGCGTCCCGCCAATCCCATCATCGTACAAGATCATCGTCACCTCAGCGCTGCTCGGATACACCACGCGCCGCACATGCTGCACCACGCTCTCTCCAGCACCCCGCCCAACCCCAACCTCCACCTCAACATGCGTCCCAGGCACAAACGACGCTCGCCCCTCATCAACAACCCACGCATCTCCCTCAGCCCGGCGTCCAGCATTGCTGCCGCTGTTGCTGTTGCTGTTACTGAGGCTTGCTGTGAACGTCTCCTCCACACTCACGCTGTCCCCGTTGCCGTCATCATCCCCAACAACAACATCAGGCTCGCGTCGACCCGCCACCTTGCTCTCCGGCTCACGCACAACCACCCGCACAGCATGCGCCTCCC